GGGTATCGAGGGCCAAGAAGGACCTGAATTAAAGTGAAATATCTTGAGATTCTATCTCCCTCCCCACTGCCCCCCCCAATCCCGACGGAGATATAATAGAGAACTAAAGCCACAGGCACAGGATGAAAGCCGCCGACAAGACAGTTTTCCAGGAGAGGTTCACGCCTAGCCCTGTTTGCCAAATAAGGCTCCTGAGCGGGCTGTTTCCATGGCAGGCGGGTTCAGACGTCCTCGCGATCAGGAAGGCGCACTCAGGATAGGATCTGGGGATCACACCCTAGACCTGCCCTGCTCAGCGCAGTGCAGCTACGAATTTTCTTTCCAAGCTCAGCCCTGTCCATACGCCCTTCCTCTTTCCATTTATTGTTAGACGCACCGAGGCACCGTCTTGCAAAAGCCCCAACAAGCACGTACGTATACATCGGGTGCTCCTGATAGATCAGTTTTGTAAACGAGCTTTATTTCTGGGCGCACGGGAACTTTTCCTCCAAACAGGTTACACAATGGCAAATATCTGATGGGTACAGAAGTCGCTGGAGAGCAAACAAACAAAACGCGAAGACGCCTTTCCCGCTCTCTACCCTTACCCGCGAGAGATTCGCGCAGGGCATAGGTGTTCCCGGTCGCCGAGGTGGCAGCCCCGCGGAGCCCGCAGCCGGGCGGCTGGGTGCCCGGGAGCCCCCTGGCGCCCGCCCTCGCCAACCTCGGGCAGCCAGAGCCCGCGCCCCCGTCTCCGTGCGCTCGCCGCGGCCGGGCTGCAGGGACTCCCAAGGATCGCCCTCTGGCCTCACGCCCGCTCCCGCCTGCCGCTTCCCGGGCGCTCCTGTCCCCACGCCGCCCTCCCACCTCCGCCGCTCGGTGCCCGGAAAGCACCTGAGCGGGTAGCCCAGCGCGGGGAGAGCCCCCTCCTCCTTTCAGGCTGGGTTTCCCCCCGCGCTCGGCGCACTGCGACCGCTGCTCTCCCTCCTCTCCGCCCGAGACGCAAGACGCGCAACCCCGCCGACTGCCATTCACCTCGGGTCCGGCGCGGCGCTGCCTCCGCCTCAGACTAGCGCTGACAAGTGACTCGGTGCGTGCGCCGTCCCCAGGACCCGCGGTAACTTCCGCCTCCTGGCTCTCCCTGGACCCGCCCCCCACCCCCGGTCCGGGGCACGCCCCTCCGCTCCCGGCCACGCCCCCAGGCCAGCAGCGTCTCGCCCCCGAACCTAGGCTGGGAAGGCTGCGAGGGAGCCCAGTGCGCGGGCTTGCTGGGACCGGCTGGAGCTGCGGCGGCAAAACAATTGCGCTACTGAGTTTCGTTGGGAGTAGTCTTAGGGGATTTTGAGCGGTGCCTGGCAAAGGTGCAATCCTCCGCGAGTCTCTTTTGTAGTGGGTGCATTTCTCTCTCCAGTAACTTGGATCGGCCAGCAGTTGCTCTGGCTAAAAATAGAAGGGAGCTTTAGATAAATTCCTGCCTATGATACTGCCTGGTTTTTTTTGAAAGAGCTTGGTATGCCCTGAGAAGTGCAGACCCAGAAGTTTGCTGTCAGGAGGTGAAAATCGGTAACCCTAACATGTAAAAGTTAACCCTGTCATCATACCAGAAGACAGTGGGAAAAAACAGCGGTCAAAGTGGTTTAACCCGTCATGTTTCTTAGCTTTGGCCCCCTCCCCAACTTTGGGAAGGTGAATCAATCTCTCTTTCCCTCTCTCTCCCTCTCCTCTTTTTTCTCTCTCTCTAAGTTATTTTCTAAGTAAACCATATTTTCCAATCTAGAAAAAAAAAGCGGTTTAACCACTATATCCTCAACTTATCTTTCCAAGTCCAAATCCATAGCAGCCTCCTCTCTTGCTTCTATAGGGTGACTTGAATTAGCCCAAGAAATTTATTCATAAGCAAATTTGAATAATGTTCAGTGAACAGAAAAGTGTCTTTTACACTGTGAAATTGGCTTATAAAATGTGAAAAAGACAATCCCCGTCCCCAAGAAGTGCAAGCAAAATTCTAAAGGAAAAAGTCCAAAGTTGCTCGCCAGAACGGTAACCACGTGCACCTATGGAACAATGAAATGTGGCTACTGTGACTGAAGCTCTGAATTGTCTTGTTTTATATAATTTTAATTAATTTAAATTGAAAAACTGAATCAGGACAATATATTTCCCTTACATACTACTTTGTTTGGGGAGGACTACATTTCACCTTACCATTTAAAATTTAATGCTCAAATTGAATTATGTTGGAAGTGTAAAATGCACACTGGATTCCAAAGACAGTCTGAAAATAAGAGTGTGAAATATTTTGTTAGTAATTTTATATTGACTGCATGCTGAAATTATATTTTTATAGTTGAAATAAAATATATGATTAAACTTAATTTCAGAGAACTTAAAATTATTTGCATGCCTCACATTATACTTTTATTGAACAATGCTTGTCCATAGCTTTCATCCCATTTTCCAAAAGATTAATTTTGGGGAAAGGATTTCTTAGCAGGAGAGCTGGTTTTCAGAGTGCTTTAATATATGTCATTATGTTTGACACCTCACCCAAAAATAAAATAAATAGCAATAGCTATCATTTTCAAATACCTACCACATGCCAGGCAGTGTAGTAATCCTTACAATAACTTTATAAGTTGATTATCATCCTCATTTGTAGATTAAAAAGTTAAGGTAGCAAAAGCAATTGCAGTGTATGACAAGTCCACAGGGCCATGCAAGAGTACCCTGCTGGAGTGCCATGACTGCACCTCCTCATCTGTTTGCTAAAGATACACTTCATTGAGCCTGGATTAACAAAGATTCATTAAAGACGTCAAAAGCCACAGATAATTCATGGAGGTATCACCCAAAGGATAAGCATCTTGAGACCATGTAAGAGCTGAGAGTGTGCAGACTATTGCAAATTCAATTTTAGCCCACAGTTTAGCCTGCATCTGAGTTTAAAACCTGGGATATACAGTAAATGAATCAAGTTAAGGTATCTTGCATAGACAAATATTTATCCAAGTGTCCCCCAAAGGGCCAATTACATCAAAATGCCATAAGCAGCTTTTTAAAATTGCTTTTTCCTGGATCCCATCCAGACCCAGAATTCTTGCAGGATAAGCCCCCAGAATTCTTTTTTAGCAAACACTCCCTCCTCTACTTCCAGGTAATCATTAAACTGTAATGTTTAAAAGCTACCTCCCTAGAGATAGCCCTTCATCCCCGATGTACTGCGCTTTGGTGAGAACCATGCATCCCAGATAGCAGCAATTTATCTCAGTTTCCCCATCTTAAATGAAATGATCTTCATAAATAACCTTGTGAAATTATCATGAGGAGTAGAGATAATCCTCATGATTATGGCACAGGGTAGGGAGTTCCAAAAATTGTATACACATTTGAAGTAATGTTCTCTATGTATTACTTTTACACTGATGGTAACCACTTGGAGCACCTCTTATAATTGCAGAAGGCAAATATGACTTGTATGCATCTTTTGTTATCAGTATATATTATAACAATTGTAATACAGTTTTTTTCCTTTCTTAAAATGTGTATATGTTTTTTTTGGCACCCTCTGTATATAAAGGACTACAGGCTGAGTGTAGTAGCTCATGCCTATATTTCCAGCACTTTGTAGGGCAAGGCAGAAGGATAGCCTGAGCCCAGGAGGTTGAGGCTGCAGTGAGCCATGATTGTGTCACTGCACTCCAGCCTGGGCCATATAGTGAGACCACCAATCAAAAAGAAAAAAAAAACTTTCTAAAAAATACGGTCGGGAGCAGTGGCTCAAGCCTTTAACCCTAGCACTTTGGGAGGCCGAAGCGAGAGGATTACCTGAGCCCAGGGACTCAAGACCAGCCTTGGTCAGACCTTGTCTCTACAATAAATCAAAAAATTAGCTGGTGTGGTGGCACATGCCTAAGGTTCCAGCTACTTGGAAGCCTGAGGCGGAAGGATCGTCTGTGTCCAAATGGGTCAAGGCTGCAGTGACTCTGAGCGTGCTACTGCACTCCAGCCTGGGTGACACAGTGAGACTCCAACTCAAAAAAAAAAGGGGACATATTTTTTCAGAGGAAGATACAGAAACTTAGATTAAGAAATTTAACCAAGGGCACACAACTAATCATTGATGGTAGTTAAACAAAAGGTCTGATTCTAAAAACCATGTTCATTTCATCACAACACACTGCCTCTTGGTAAACTCAGTAAGTCATCCAGCTTAAAGGCCAGAGAAAGACCAAATGCTATAGAAACTAGCACTGCTGAGGGCCATGGAGGTGCAATCTGCAGAAAATTATGAAAATTAAATAAATGCTGAATTATTAGTAGATGAGGGAGGATGAAACTCCTCATTCATTTCCAGTAGAATGCGTGCCTTAAATTGTTTTACAATGAATTGCCAGTGAGCTATTCTGACTCCCCTTTTCCACCTCCCTCATAACTAACATTGAAGGACTGTCTGTGACTACAGACAAGCAGGAAGATAACTGATCCATTGGGAAATCAAACCGGTGTCCTTGACCTCGTTAATTCCTGTGGAGTTAATCAATAAGGCACTGACCACAACAGAAACCATATTAAAAACTTTATTTTATCATAACTAGGGAAAGAAAAGCTACAGAAGGAAAAATAAAAGAGATCAAAAGATTAATCCAGCAGGAAGAGTTTTTACGACTATTCCATCTAAATACAGTATTTACCTAAGTGTATAAATGTTTTCTCTAACACTTTATTATCCAATGTATGACTCAGAACCTCTTGTAGCACTTCAAAAATAACAGAAACTTTTAATTACAAGATGGCATGGCTGTTATGAGTTTTTATAGTTGCCCCTAATAAACTATGAAGCACCAGTCTTTAAAATGTTCTTACATTATTCTAAGTCAATTTATCTTTTAAGTATGAATCCTGAAAGGTAAATAAAGCACTTGTAGTATGAGTATTTAATATTTAACATCTGGAATGGAAAGGAAACATTAACTATTCTAATACCTAAGGAAACATTTGATAATCTAGGGAGAAAAGATAGAAGAAATAATGTCATTCTGAAGGTCACTAAGGAATCCTGGGAGTAAGGCAGAACTAAAGCAGGCACAGAGAGAGTGGGAAGGAATACTGGATGAGAAAGACTGTAAGGGCAGATTCACGAAGCCTATAGATAACTGAGCAAATGTGTAATTGAGGAAGAAGGCAAAGGGATTCAAGTCTTGGTGTTTTGGGGGGTGGTATGAATAACTGATATTGAAGAAAGAGGAGCAAGATTTTGGGAACTATGCATTTGACTGGCAGTTTCTAGTAAGGAAAAAAAAAGCCAGTTGGTAAGAGAAGGGTAGGAATAAGAAAGATAAAAAGAACACCGAAAAAAAGTGCTGGGGAGCTCCAAAATTTGAGATTTCAGAAGGGGAGGAATGTTTCTCCTGAGAAGATCAAGGTTTAGCCAGTCTGATGTTTTACTTGGATGAAGCCGATTCATTGAGGAGTCTAGTGGATGGTGGAGAGGATAGAGAGTATATGCAGTAGTGATTCTGGAGTTGGGATGGAAACAAAACATATGGGTCAATTATAGAAAAAGTATAGTCTATAAGGATGTTGCAGTAGCAACCCATTATCTTTGGGAGATATGCTCCAAGACACCTAAGGGATCTGAAACCACAATAGTACCAAACCCTACATATAGCCTACGCACACATTTCTTTTTCCTTCTTCACAATTTCCCAAATAGAAGATTTGTTCTTACCGTAGATCTTAGCAACATAGCATATAATTTTTTTCTTTCCTTATTAAGTCAAGAACGTTCACTTTTTTGCTGGAAGGAAGCAATTTATGACTTCTTTTCTGCATATCCAAATTGTCAGCATCACTTCTCTTTTGCTTTGGGACCACTATTAAGTGAAACAAAGGTTCCTTGAACACAAGCACTGCAATATGGTGACAGATCTTACAACCAAGATGGCTACTGAGTGTCCACAAAGTGGAACTGCTGGACAAACACATACTCCACATCCTGGGTAGAATGGAGCAGGACAGCACGAGATTTTATCATACAACCCAGAATGGCATGCAACAGTATTTTAAGAAAGTCAAGAAACTGAGAAATGGGCCTGGAGCAGAACTTCCCAATTAGTTGTGCCAAGAAATTCATCTTCTCAACCTGGGAGATGAGGCAGACTAGAACTAGAAGCC